TTGTTTATGGGTTTTTCCCTTCAGTCCATGTCTCGGTGTGAAATTTATATCTGTTTACAAAGTATGTGTGGCGTTCATTTGCGCTTTGAATATGGCCTTCATACAAGTTTCTCAAATGGAGTATTTCTTGATTCGGTGCAACAATGCATGACAATTTCTCCTTGAACCATGATGGAAACTGAGCATGTCTGTCACCGGATGTTGCTTGTACATTGGTACTATGAAAATAAGAGGTGTTAAATTCTCTAAAAAGAAACACACTATAAGTTTTAAGTTAATAAGTTTTATATTCACACTGTAAAGAAAATTAAACATAGTTGGGGTATACTTACTCAAGATATGGTTTAACTTCAACACAATTGATCAAGACATGAACATGTGCGGATTGAATTTCTTTTGGGCCAACCAATGCACACCCTTATTTCCAGAGGGACGACCTGGAAGCTCAAAGATTGATAAGGTGAGTTGACTTGTTTTGTTAAAATTTATAGGATTCTTTATGATTATTGGAGTTAACATCATGTGATTGAAATAGTGACTGCAAAAAAATGTGATGTTTCCCGATGCAAGTAATGTACATATATTGATCCTTCAACTCTAGCTTTATTTTTCACTTATCGCTTTGAATCACCCATGAACCTTTCAAACGGATACATCCACCTATATTGAATAGGACCGCCAAGATAAGCTTCATATGCAACACACACGTGTAGATGTTCCATGGAGTCAAACAAACCAGGCGGAAATACTTGTTCCAACTTACAAAGCATGACTAGAATATTTTAGTCCAACTTAATGATGTCATCCACTCTTAAAACTGACACACAAATATCTCTAAAAAGTTGACTAATTTCAGTTAGTGGATTAAGCACATGTTTGGGTAGTGAACTGAATTCAATTAGTAGCAATTGTTCCATAAAAACATCACAATCATGACTTTTCATACCATGCAACTTCTCAGTGTTAGCGTCGACACACCTTGCTAAATTTGAAGAATAACCATCGGGAATTCTCAATTCTTTTAACCATCGGCAAACCCCATTAGCTTCTGAGGAAGTCAGAGTAAAATAAGCCTTCGGTTTTAATAGTTTTCATTCGATTAAGTCTTCAACTCAAACTCTTTTAGATTACACCAAGTTTCCATGTCTTGTATAGCCTTCTAATTATCTTTTGTTTTGTCTTAACATCAATCACTGTGTTAAATACATTATCAAAAAAATTCTTCTCAATATGCATAACATCAAGATTATGGCGCAACAAATTATCTTTCTAATACAGGAGGTCCCAAAATATACTTATTTTTTCCCAGTTGTGTGTGACCCCATATCCTTGAATTCTACATGCTTTATCAGTATATGTGAATTTTGGTATTTCACAAACTTAGTTCCATACAACACCTGGTGACAATCAAGGCAGAGGAAAATATGTTACTCGTTCATCTTTTTTGAAATATGTCTTGTTTCTTCTATAGGAATGATTTCTTGGTAGGAATCTACAGTGACTGTGAAACCATGAGCTTCCCCACCTTTTCCAACATAAACGCATTGGTGTATCCCATGTAATATGGACAACCCATTTTATCGTGTGTACCCTAACCAGACAACATACTATATGCTAGAAATTCGTTAATGGTCTACATCAAGGCAACTGGCAAAGTAAAGTTCTGTTTACGAGATATAACATAAGTTCATTCTCCAATCAACAACCTCTTCAAATCATCAATTAAAAGTTATAAGTACATATCGATTCCAGCTTTTGAACTCGGTACTCCTGGAATGAGGCAAATCAAAAACATGTATGGTTTTGTCATGCACATCTCTGGATGGAAGTTGTAAGGGGTTACAATAACTGGCCAATAAGAATACACACTTCCCAATGCTTGGACATATGGAGCAAAACTATCAGAGCATAATCCAAGCCTGACATTTCTAGGTTATGCGGCAAAATCAGGATGTGTCGGACTAAAGTGCTTTCGTGTCTCGCCATAAGATGAATGTTGCATAGTGCCCGAACTTGTTTGGTTTATATGATGCCATGTCATTTGACTTGCATTGTGCATTAAAGCAAACATTATTTTTAACCTTGGTATTATCGGAAGATAAAACATGGACTTTACTGCTACACATTTTTGCTTACGGTGAATGACTTTACTGTGAACTTGGTATCTTGGACTCTTACATAACTTACATTCCTCCAACAATCCATCTTTAGTACCAAACTCATTATCATAAAACAACATGCAACCACTAATGCAACAATCAATCTTTCTTACTTATAAACCCAACTTCAACACCAAATTCTTTGTATCATAAAAATTTGTAGGCAAGTTGTCTTTTGTTACAGCTGAGTCCAACATCATTTTTGCGAAGAACTCTAAACACTAACCAAGAACATTCCAATTTGACTTGGAGGCCAATGTTCTCACACACATTGATAACTTTGAGTCTGACAACCCCTCAAACAACATCAGATTCATCTCATTCAACAACTGATACAATCTTTGTGCTTCCTCATTCAACAACTCTTCCCCATCAAAATCTTCAGGTTGATCATAGGTCACGTTCACACCAAAAGCATCGCCAACCATCTCACCGATCATATTAGAGTTTTCCTCATATTTCCATATGTTACTCGGTTGTTCTTCACCATTATATTTCTAAACCTAATAATTTTCAATGAAAGGTCTACATTCACATTTAAGACAAGGACACCTACTTCTTCCTTCACTTCGTGAGTTTTTGATTCACGTCTATTGAATTAGCATGTTTTTAATTGCTTTCAAAAGGAATTGAACTCATAACCTTTGAATGACAAAACATTTCTTATCAACTACACCAAACTTTCTATTTTGTTATTATATTGCAGCAATAATATATATCTCATAACTGTTTCGGTATTTAATAAATTAATTCATTTATTAATTTAATAAATACTAATAATTCAATATATGTAACTTATTTAGTATTATGAAAAAATGAACTATTTAATAAAATACTTATTTAATAAATTTAGTAAATACTAATAAAATATTTAATAATTAGTTTATTAAATATTTCAATATATATTATAATATGTCAATAAATACTGATAGTTAAATAGTTGATTTTATAAATGAATGAAATGATTTGTTAAATACTGATTTAGTAAATACTGATATGTAATAAACAAATAAATTAATTGATTATTAAATAAATAAATGAATTGATTTATTAAACAAATTGATTTTTTCTCTCACTTCTAAATTGTTTTGTTCTCGTTATACTTCTTACATTTTATATTCACTACTAAAAAAATTATGTGAATAGAAAATTCTAACAATTTATTATACAAATAGAAATATATATATATATATATATATATATATATATATATATATATATATATATATATATATATATATATATATATATATATTAAATCAGTATTTACTGAAATATTAATATTTATTAAGTAAATAAATGGATTAATTTATTAAATACTGAAACAATTAAAATATTAATAGTTTATATATTAAACTGTTGAAATATTTAAAACATTAAATAGTTAAAATACTAATAGTTGAAATTCAGAATTATGGACATAAATAAAAAAAATACAGTAGCAGAAACTCAGAATTAGAGACCTAAACAAAAAAAATATATATATTTACGGACTAAACAAAAAACACGCTAACTAATTAGAGACCTGAACTAATATATATATATATATATATATATATATATATATATATATATATATATATATATATATATATATATATATATATATATATATATATATATATATATATATATATATATATATATATATATATATATATATATATATATATATATATATATATATATATATATATATATATATATATATATATATATATTAATTATTTTATTAAATATTTCAAATATTTATTAAATATTTTAACTATTCAAACAACTACTAAATATTTCAATTATTATATATTAAATAATAATTTCATAATATTTCAACTATTGATTTAATATATTAATTATTAAATATTTCAAATGATTTAATATATAAATTACTATATATAATTAATTACTGTATATTAATAATAAAATAACATAATTAAATAATAATTAAAATTGTTCAAACTATTTATATATTAATTACTGTATATTATTATTTTTTAGAACAAAATAAAAATTAATATCAAAACTCAAAACAAAACAAAATCTTTTTTAAATAAATTATTGCATTATATAATATATACATATGCATTGTAAATGTTAAACAGAAAGTATCAATACTTTTTGTTTTCTTAGCATCAATCTCCAAATTTTTTACATTAAATTAAAAATTAAAAATCGTAAAAAGTTTCTCTTTTTCTCAAGTTTTATTTTCTCCTCTGTAAATTTCTCAATTTTTTCTAACCCTAGATTCTTTCCTTTCCAACTGATCGATTTTGGATCCTAAATTTCTGAAGTATGCTACAAACAACATGGAGGTCCCTCCACGATTTATACAATGACTACGATGATGACGTTGGTGACTACTTCGATGGTATCTGTCTTTTGAAAACTGGTTATATTATTGGTTGTTTAATGATTCTTGGTCATCTTTATTTAACTTTGTTTGATAATTGATGTTTTTGGTATTTTAACATTAGTATCTTTTGGGATGATGTCCTACAAACAATTCATTCATGAGCTTGAGAATGATATACTACTAGATGAAGCAGAACGAGGCAAGTTTTGGAAACTAATCTTTTGTGTTATGTCTAAGAAATCAATTTATGTAAGAGATTTTTAGATTTTCATTGACAAATGACGTCTGGTTAATTTTTATAGGTATCAAGAATAGAGATCAGAGGACATTTCTACCCAAAAAGAGCATATTTGAATGCTCATAAGGATGAGGAGTGGTATGCTTTGATTTATTTGATTTGCAGAGTGGAACTTTTGATTTATAAGTTCTTGTCCTCTTTCTTACTTACTATTGTATGTGAAACTCTAACTCTAACCTGCCTTTTCTTGCTTATGCATATTTTGTATTACAATCAATACACATATCCTGGTTTAAGTGCCTCTTTATCCAGCAAATCAACGCAAGCTAGCAAGCAAAATTCAGAGGAGGAAGTGGTTGAAAAAAGAAGAAGACATATAAGGGGTTTTAGTAAACAAAGTGATTTCACAACTGCTCCAAAGACTCATTATATTAGTTATGAACCTGCACAAATACAAGAAGATGTCCAGCTGTCTCAGGACCTTGTTCACAAGCTTGACACAAAAAAGATGATTGGAGATAAGTATGTAGCAATGATCATGATAAAAATGGTGATAAGTCTCATAGTGGTTTTTTGGGACCAGTATTAATTATACAAGGCCTAACATTGTTAAGGTTTAGATTATTATGGCATGATTGAAACTAATGAGGCTAAGATTTTTAGGCATGTGAGGCCAGAAAGAACAAGGCATGAAGAAACAAGTAAGTCAGGGTCTGTATGGAAAAAAAGCTTGAATCATTTTGGCAGGGAAGGTTGAATAGTCAGGATCCATCGAAAGTAACAGTTGCTAAGGAGAAAATAGATGTTGCAATTGATGAAGTGTTGAATCCATATGTTACAAAAATCAGGGATGAAAATGTTGGGTGTAAGTGTGATTTGTTAAAGTTTCACATTTCTTATGAATGGGTGGAATGTTGGATTATAAGAGAGAGAATCCATTTACCTAATACTTTGAGATGTGGCGTCTCCCTCTCTTGTGGTCTTGGAGCATTGGTCCCATTGGTGCTCTCGACTTCCCTAGACTCACCAACATAAAAGTATGGATGGAAGTATGGTTGTGGAGCTAAGGACTGCACAAAGTTTTTCATGCTACTGAATTTTCGTACAAACATCTTCAACCTTGCATCTATGCATACGCACAAACAAAGTACACATAATCATTCATTGTTTGGGTGTCATCTAGACTTGGTTGATAACCTTCAATTTAGATTGGTTGTAACCTAAGGTTTGGTTAAGAATTTTGGGGGTTTCATCGAAAAAATTGTGAAGGTTTTTCTCCCAAGATCAAAGTGAGGATTTGGGTTTTTTTTACAAGATTTCACAAATATTGGATTCGGTCGAGTGAAGAGCTTTGAAGAACGCGAGGTTCTTACAAAGGAGTAGCGTGAGATGGTAAATCATTTAGAAATCTTGGGTGACAACAATTCACAATTTGGATTCGGCCGAGTGAAGAGGTTTGAAGAACGATGGTTTCTTGCAAAGGAATAACATGAGACGGTGAATCAAATTAATATTATTGAGTGACTTGATTAAACTCAGATCAAGGGAAAAGAAATTGCTAGGATCAACATAAAGTATATGATTTGTAGGGTTCAATTGTTACATTTCTCTTGTAAATTATTTTTTGCATAGTAAGAAGTCTTATGTCAATTCCAAATGGAATTGGGGGGCAAAAGTGGTCAAAGCAAGGACGGTTGGCGAACTACCTAAATAAATCCTTGTGTCGTTCTCTCTGTCTCTCTTTGTCTTTCTCTATCTCTCATTTACTTTCCATTAGCAAACTGTTAAATTTTGTGTGTGCAATCGATTCGTATAGATAAAATATTTGATTGTTAACTCTCTTTGTTGATTATATTACAATCATATTGATTGTAAGTGTTTTTTTATATCAACAAAGCTAAAAGAAAAATCTGAAAAATTGAGTGTACATCAAGTGTCTGATAAATTGCTTGACTTAATTTTTATCATTTGTTTCATTGGAAATTGGTTTGCTTTGTTGTTATTGTGGAACTATAATTTGAGAATTTATTGTATTAATAAATTATCATCATCCTTTATATAAATTGATAAGATGTGAATATTCGAGCCTCTAATAACCGGTTTGGTTTGGACGACTTGTGATCTAAGGAACAACTCCCGCTTGCCATAGTTTTTACTTATTTTTCAAAGCAGTATTTTTAAGTGAAAATTTTCTTTGGGTATTTTTGTGCCCCAAAATTTTCCCTCTCATTTTACTCAACACAAGCCTATTGAGATCCTCAACTTGTCCAAGGATGCCCACGAATTGATCAGACAAATTCTCCTCCTAAGGCAATGAACTCCCAACTAGGGTTTCCATGTGAATCAGGATGTGTCAACTCCAAATACTTCAATTGCTTTCCATGGTCCTATTATGCGTCCAAGAATGTCCATGACAAATTTCATGCCTTGCAGAACAAGTTTGCACAGTCAATTGCCCAAATGCATGAAAATCAACTATACTAGGTCAAAAGTCAACTGTGACCTATATACAGTCAAACTTCAAGATTTTTTGTCAACAACATCGTTTTGAAGTGATAATCATCATTTGATCAAGGGTTGACCATGATTCCTCAATAAATGCTCTGAATTCATCAAAAGTCAAATTTGCAAAATTAGGGTTTTTATAGGAAAAATCAACTGAACTTTGACTGGGCATAACTTTCTCATACTTTGTCCATTTGGCCCCAACCAAAGCCCATCTTGAATAGAATCCAATTTCCTACAAACCGTCTTTTATCTTCAAGTTCAAGAAGTGAACCATTTGAAAGATGCAAGCTCATATATTACATGTCATTTTCAGAAAGTCAACAAAAGACACTTTTTGTCCAGACCTTTTACATCAAGATAACATCTTCAAATGAAAAAATTATCAAAAGAAGGATTGAAGTAGACATCTTGAACTTTCCAAAAGATCCAAGGTCATCTCCTTGGGATAAAAAATTAGCAAGTTATAGTTTGCCCAAGTTGGGAAATTTTTGGAAAATTCAAAAATCCTACATCGAGCAAAGTTGAGTTTTCAAGGCGTTAACTCATTTCTTTGAGTTTTAAACTTCTCCATGGCATATTATAGGACCCATAAGCTCTTCCCCTTGTTGTCTTACTTTTTATCCATTTATTTCCATTTATTTGGATTTATTTTCAATAAAACATGAAATAAGTGGTTTAAATAACAAAGGGAGGTGTATAGCACAAATGGACTTGGAATTATCTTGCACAAGGGTCCAAGCCACGGAGCAAATGATGTCCAGGTTCATCCCCTTCAAGAAATGGCACAAAAGTCATTTAGGGCAAGTTTTCAAATTTTGCATTATGGTTCTTTAAAACATCAATTTGGCAAGTTTTTGAATATTATATCAATACTTCATTACAAGGAATTATGGCATGGATTTTGCATTCAAGACCATTCATTCCTTCCCTCCTATATATATTGGACCATTTGCAAGCATAAAAAAAAGAAAAAAGACACTTACCACGCTACAGAAGCCCTCTCTCAAACTCTCCATTTTCATAAATTCGTCAAAAATTTGCAACCGCACTTACAAGTTGTTTCGTGGCAAACTAAAACTATAGTCATTCTCCCAGAATTCCCAGGAATTGATCCAGGCAATCCCTAGGCCCTTGCACGACCAAGAACACTACATATGCGAACATGCGTATTTGGTAAAAATTTTAATTTGAATTTCATTTATCTGTACATTTTATGCCTTGGTTTGTTTGAATGTTGCACAGGACCTAAAACTATGAGGTTTGGGCGTGAGAATCACAAGGTTTGAGCCTGAAATCCAATCGTGTCATAGCTAGGACACGATCTGCATTTCGTGCTCATAGCGCAGGATGCAGGCCCATTTATTTTGTTTTTTTGTTCTATTCTTTATGTTTTATTTCTTCTTTTGATTTTATTTTTATTAATTAACCTTAAAACCAAAAAATCACAAAAATAGTAATTATTATTTTTAAATAGATCATTAATTAATTAATTAGTTAATATTTTCCTAAAGTAATGATTAAGTAGAACTAGGTTTTATATTTCATAATTCTTATTTTCTTTAATATTTAAAAAATATTAATTAGGTTTATTTTATGTTATTAATTAGACTTTAATTTAATATTTTCGTAAATTAAAAACCAAACAAAAAAACATGCATTTTCTTTTTTTAAAACTAATTCAAAAAACATCAAAAAGTTTCCTTTACGTACTTTCCTATTTCGCGCGCAGTTTCTTCTTTCACACTTTTATACTCCTGTACATATTAATGTAGCCAAACTATAAGGCATTTTTATTGTTTTCCTTTATATTTCTCCCGGTTTTGGACTTGTAATTAAATCCCTCTCCCCGAAGCCATGTAATAGCGTAGGAATTTACGTTTCTGCACTTTATATTTTTGTACATATATTAACTGTTAGATGTATGGCTAATAGGATTGCATGAACAAGATAAAACCAATCGCTAGAAAACTAAACACAAAGACTAATATATCTGAAATCAAATACACTCGCACATACGCACCCCTAGGGTATCACTACTTCGGTTGCCTTCGGTAAACGGTCATGAAGCATAGGGAGTTTTAGTGGTCACCCTCCAGTCCAAAAAAGATCAAAATGACCCATTCGAATGTTGCCTCAGAAATATCTTTAAGACTTTAGGGTAATTACTAAAGTTTTCTAACCATTGCTTTTGTAACCGTAAAAATGTCCATTTCGATTGTCCCTTAAACTCTAACGATGAGGCTACCTACTCCTTAATAGTAGGATAGAGATGTCTAAAGGAAATGAGAAAAAACGAACAACCTTTTTTCGAGTAGGTAGATAGTTTCTAGGTAATTACTCAAAAATATCAAAATCTTTTCACACAAACACTTTCAAAACAATTTTCAAAAACAACTTCGTCACACTCTTGAGGACAGAAACAAGAGTTATCACGAAGTAAAACAATTTTTTTTAAAACACACGCACAAAGCAACTTCAAAATGAGCAAAGTGCTTAAGAGCCCGTGGAAAACCACGGATAGAAAGAGTATTAATACCTTCCCTTTCTATAATCTACCCCCTTTACTCAGAAAACTCTCGAAAAAGGTTTTTTTCTGTTCTTTTTTTACCTTTCCTTTGTTGGATAAAATAAAAGACGGTGGAGACTCTTTCTTACCGCACATTTGCAAATGCAAACGCAAAACCAATATTAACAGTCGGTTCTGCCACCGTATCACAGAACTGGCGACTCTGTTGAGGAACATGGTTTATAAAGTGGGGTTTACCTTAGGATCTAGGTTATTTTAATTGCTTCTTTGGCTTCTCTTGTTTGATTTACTTTTAGGGGTATCTGTTTGGGTTGTTTGGATCCTAAACCTGGATCGGGGAATTCCTTTTAGATAAGTAGCAATAAACTGTGAGGGAGCTGTGCGGGGTATACCGACACAGTTGAAACAGTAGCTACGTTGATACCATACTTTGGTGTGTACCGGTAGCCCTTAAGTAATCAAGGAGAATACGGGGCCATTGCGTGATATCATAAAGCATCAACTGACCTTAGCACCTTAATTGACCAACTTGGATTTTTAGGACGTAGTGAGATAACCGTCTTTGGTGTAAACCCAAAGTCGGTTGATACTCGATGCTACACTCATTGAGGTTTAACTCTTGAGTTTTGTTTGGTGGCAAGTCAATTGTCTATCAGAATGAAATTTGGGGGGAAAGATCAGTGATATTGAGATCCCTTAGAACCCGGTTACTATATTTAGGACAAGTTGAACCAACCCAACTTCAAGAGGGTATTACCTTAAAACCCATGAAAGCCTTAAACCTAAGGTATTTGTGTGATTTGCTTGTGTTTGCTATATCTGCTATATCTGAGCATAATCATGACATCATAACATAGCATATCATACTAACCATTTCAAGGATTCTTAGGGTTTATTTTTGTCTTGTTTTGTAGGACCTGGCCTTCGCCCGCAGATTCACTATCCAAGTCAGTCTGGTAAAGGTAACTCCTCGGCTTAAGAAGTTAGTATCAGGGGTTCCTGAAAGCTCTCCCTTCACTGAAAGACATGGTCGACTTCTCAGCTTGCTCACCTCAAACCCTGATGAAGAAATGTTAAAAATGCTCTTTCAATTCTTTGACCCTCTACATCACTGCTTCACTTTTCCGGATTACCAATTAGTGCCTACTATGGAGGAGTTTTCTCTGTTACTGGGGGTGCCTATCCTTAACAAGGTATCTTTCAATGGTATGGAAAGAGACCATAACCCTGAAGATATTGCTAAAGCTCTGTCCTTACAACGGTCTGACGTAGTAGCAAATTGGGAAACCAGGAGAGGTGTCAAGGGTTTTTTGGCTAAGTTCTTGTTTGAGAAAGCTCATCATTTTTAGGATACCCTGGACTTACAAGATTTTGAAGAGGTGTTAGCCCTTATCATATATGGGTTGGTACTGTTTTCTAATCCGGATTAGCTTATAGACGTGAATGCGGTTAAGGTTTTCCTATCATGCAATCCGGTACCTACTCTACTTGGAGATGTCTTACATTCTCTGCATACTCGCACTATAAAGAAAAGAGGGACCCTTTTGTGTTGCACTCCTCTTTTGGCTAGGTGGTTTATTTCTCACCTACCACGATCCTTCTTGAAGAATGAACAGGGTTTGAGATGGTCTCATAGGATAAGGACTCTTACACATTCAAGTATTCATTGGTGTCCTCAATCCTCAGAGAATGTTACCATCATTGATCGGTGAGGAGAATTCCCTAATGTCCCTCTCTTAGGCATTAGGGGAGGAATCACTTACAATCCTTGTTTAGAACTGCGATAGTTTGGATATGCAAGAAGGGATGGTCCTCATGATACACTTATCCAAGGAATCGCCTTCGACTATGAGAATGATGCTCAGGGTTACCGTAAAAGGTTCATGCGAGCTTAGGGAATGGTACATAGAGTTGATAGCAAGACACTGGGGCACAAGAATTCCATCCCTCTTGAGCCTTATCTCAAATGGGTACGAGCCCATGCTCAAAGTCTTATGATGCCTTACCTCGTCATCCTACCTATGATTATGGAACCGGTTTCTGAAGGAGACACTCCTTATCTTGTTCTTCATCCTGACATGCCAACTGATCATGAGGAGTTACAATAATCATGGGTTCAACTTAAGGAGGAGAGGGATACGTTCGAAGCTCAATTCTACGCCAGCGAGAAGAAAGTTATGGAACTCACTAGGCTACTTCATAAAGAGAGGAATATAAATGCCTACATTGCACCAAAGAGGATGCTTATGGGAAACCTAATTTTCTTTTTGCTTTAAGTTTTATTTTGTTTGATTGTAAGCCTAAAGGGAACTCTTTGTAACAATTAGAACTTATTAATATAATTAACGTGTGTTTATTTTGTTTAAGCAAATTTGAGTCTTTAAGAATCCTTGAAATCATTGCATACGCATATCATCCATGACATTTTATAAACAGGTTTCAAAGTAGAATTCTCATCCTCTTCGCTGTTTATTTCAGCAATAATGGCTTCTGAGCAAAGTATCAAGGATCTCCAGGCACAAAATGCCCAATTTCAACAAATGTTCATAGCTTTGGCTAAAGGACAGGAAGATCTGAAGGCCCTTATTCTGAAAGATAGAAAGAAGAAGGTGAAGAAGACCGCTTGTAACACCCCTTCTAAAATACTCCGAATAATATTAATTATATCAATGATTAAAGACATATTCCATCAGAGTTAACACGGAACAAGGGATGTCACAATTATGAAATAAATAAAACTTCCAATAAAACAGTAGTCATGCTACACTGAGGGTCATTATTCAAATAATTAAATCAAATTAAGACCATGTCTTACACAGCTGAAAAATACCATAACCAAAACAGAATAAACCAAAACATAATTATTCCCAATGAAATTCAAAGAAACAATTGAATAATAACTAATTCCTCAACTAAACGTTCCCCAGTGTTACAACCTATCAAAGCACGACACTGACACGCGGACTTAAAGTAACATAGCTCTAGAGCCATCCTCACCAACTCCTGAGCTGCTAACTTTAATCTGAAATTGTTAAAGTAAGGGTGAGATTTCTCATAATTAACATGCATTATAAGTTTCTCAATCAACAATATCATAAGCATATTATTTCACCCATTTTAGCATAAATTCATATTCAACACGCAGTTCCAATCATACAAGTCATTATGCACAAATCAATAATCAACCAAAGAATTGTAACACTGGAAGACATCCTAACATGTTACAATTCCATGCAAACACAAATGCAGACACAATGCATGTGGTACCAACACGTGACCAAGTCACCCAACACTGATCCATCATCAACCGGATACAGCAACCATCGATTCGTCCATAAACACCCGGACACGAATCCATCCTAACCACCCATCATCACCAGGGTATCGGTTAACGACAATACAAGTCAAATTCCACACAATGGGAATTAACTTCACCAAAACAATGCATATGCACGCACATCACTAGCATGCAACATCAAATCAGTCTATGAAATACATCAATTTATCATAACTGAACCAAAACCAAAAACATGATATCTCAACGATCATGCACACCATCATTAGCAACATAAACATGCCTTTCATTCACACAATACTAATACATCCATTCATCACAGGTTCACTGCTACATACACACCCATGTGCGTTAGCCAATAATCACTTATTCCGATATTTGACTCATTTTCAAAATAATTTCAGGTTTTAGGAGATCTTTTCATTTTGTAAAATAGAGCATTAAATTTAAGAAATAACGTCCAA